CCGGGGCGGGGCTCACCCCGCGCTTTCCCCTTTCAGCGAGACCATCATGTTCCTGCACCAGATTTTCTACCAGGGCCTGAAGGCCCGCATCTCCAGCTGGCCCACGCTGGTCCTGGGTGAGTAGCTGGCCCTCGCAGGGCCCCCGGCCGCCCACCTCCCCCCAGGGCCCTCGCCGGGGCCACTGTCCGGGCCGGTGGTGCTTCCGTCCTGGAGCAGCCCCCCCAGAAACCCACCGAAGCCCCCAGAGGGAGAAGAGAACACACGTGTTGGCAAAAACTGCATTTCTAGGAGGAAACGGCGTATTTTTAGGTACTTCTGTACTTTTCCCTTTTAAAAATAATATCTATGTACCCATTTGAGAAAATTTGAGAATCTAGAAAAGTAGAAAAGGTTTAAAAATATCAATCATCGTTCTCCTTCCAAAGATAAGTGCTATAAACATTTCAGTGTGTTTTCTTCCAATTTTTTTTCTATGCAGAGATCTTGGGTTTTTTTCCCCCATTTTACATAATTGCAAACATACTGAATTTAGATTCTGAATCTTGCCGTTTTATTTATTTTTATTTTTATTTATTGATTTATTTTGCCTAACTTCACAGCACCAGTGTTTTCTTACTCTGGAAGCATCCTTTTTGCTGGGTGCGTAATGCTTCGGTGCCCATTGCTGGCTCAGAAATAATGATCTCTGCCACTGACGACTTCTCCTTACTATCAGTTTCCGAAAGTAGCATTACTGACCCAAAGCTTCCCCGCCCTCGGGCCATGGACGCCTCTGACCGGGCAGGCGCTTTCTCTTGTGTTCTCAAGTCAGAGACCCCCACTGTTCCCAAGGTCAAAATCAGAGCAGCCTGGACAGACGGGGGCCACCCCTCCCGTCCTTCCCAGTCGAGGATGCCGTCCACTGGGCAGAGGAATGCCCCGTCCAGCAGCCCCTGCCCAGAGTTTATGACCAGGACGCATGCTTTTCTTTCTTAACGGGGTTCAGCAGCGGTTTCGGCAGGTCTATCCCACCCGGCAAGTGTTGAGATCTAGGGAGAGTGGTTGGGCTTTAGAGGGCTGGGAGGGCAGGAGGCCGGCGGGGGACCCACCTCACCGAAGCGGGTCTGGAAAGACGGGAACGGAGGGACACGTGGGGGATGGGACGGGCTCGGGTGGGTGTGTGGTGT